GCCGGCGCTGCGTGCCCAAGGTCGGCCCCACGCCTGCAAGGGAGGGGGCAGGGGGCAGTTTTGGGGGTCGTGCCCGGCGCTGGAGGTGCAGCAGCTGCCCTGGGAGAGGGACCAGCGCCATCGGAGCGTGGCGAGGACAAATTATTCTAATGAGCTTCCTCCTGGTAAATGAGCCACGAGCGCTGAAAGGTGCCCAGGGAAAAAACCCACGAGGGAAAAATCCACAGGGGAAAAAACCCATGGGGAAAAAAACCACGAGGGAAAAAACCCCACCGTGCTGCCATCAGTTTCCAGCATCCCTAAAACCTGGCCAGGGCCTTCCCACGCCTGCGTGACCCCAGATTAGGGGCAGTTTGTGCAAGATGCGATGCAAAGTGACTTTTCCCAAGTGTGACCTGAGTCATCAGCGGATCACCGAGCCCAGGGCTCCTCCCGAGCCTGCAGCCGGCTGCGTTTGCCACCGGGGGGACCGGGGATGCTCCCGGTGCGGCGGGGCCGATAAGGAGGCGGCGGCGGCAGGAGCCCGGCCGGCTCTGGCACAGCAAACGCAGCCAGTAAATTTCCACTGGGGCAGCTCCGAGTTAATGAGCTCAATGCGTGACCCCGGGCAGCGCCGGAGCTGCCAGCGGTTGGGAGGAATTCCCCAGGAAAGCTGGGAGGGGATGGGGACCCTTCCCGTGCGAGCCGCTCAGCGCCCCGGGGGAGCTCAGAGGGTGAAGGGGGCCTGGGGTGCAGAGCTGGGCTCAGAAGCCACATCTGAAACTAAAACTGGACGATTTGGGGATTTGCAAGAGCCTGGGCTCAGCTCCTGCTCCATGGCCGAGTCCCTCCGGTGTCAGCTGCAAGGACAAGGACACCTTTTAAAAAACAAACCAAAACGTTGTAAAAGGTTATTTGACCCCTGGCCGATTGTCACCTTCTCCGCAGCGCGCTGTTTCGGAGGGACAATCCCGAATGCAGCACTTTTCCCAAGGGAACACGTTATGGGCACAGGGGATGCAGGGCCAGCAGCTGCGGCCTCCAGCCCTGGGTTTGTGCTGCTCCCCCTGCTCCAGGAGGGAGGCAGCACCAACACAGCCGCTGCTCCAAAGCCAGTGCACTCCTGGGGAGTTTCACCCTTGGTTTTATTTTGGCTGCTCCATCCAGTCCCAGGGATGCTGCTGAAGGCAGGCCCAGAGCAGCCGCCGGTGACAGCAAGGGACACTCCTGGCAGCACGGGACACTCCCGGCAGCAAGGGACACCTCCTGACAGCAAGGGACACCTGACAGCAAGGGACACTCCCGACAGCAAGGGACACTCCTGGCAGCACGGGACCCTCCCGGCAGCAAGGGACACCTCCTGACAGCAAGGGACACCTGACAGCAAGGGACACTCCCGACAGCAAGGGACACTCCTGGCAGCACGGGACCCTCCCGGCAGCAAGGGACACCTCCTGACAGCAAGGGACACCTGACAGCAAGGGACACTCCCGACAGCAAGGGACACTCCTGGCAGCACGGGACCCTCCCGGCAGCAAGGGACACCTCCTGACAGCAAGGGACACCTGACAGCAAGGGACACTCCCGACAGCAAGGGACACTCCTGGCAGCACGGGACCCTCCCGGCAGCAAGGGACACCTCCTGACAGCAAGGGACACCTGACAGCAAGGGACACTCCCGACAGCAAGGGACACTCCTGGCAGCACGGGACCCTCCCGGCAGCAAGGGACACCTCCTGACAGCAAGGGACACCTGACAGCAAGGGACACTCCCGACAGCAAGGGACACTCCTGGCAGCACGGGACCCTCCCGGCAGCAAGGGACACCTCCTGACAGCAAGGGACACCTGACAGCAAGGGACACTCCCGACAGCAAGGGACACTCCTGGCAGCACGGGACCCTCCCGGCAGCAAGGGACACCTCCTGACAGCAAGGGACACCTGACAGCAAGGGACACTCCCGACAGCAAGGGACACTCCTGGCAGCACGGGACCCTCCCGGCAGCAAGGGACACCTCCTGACAGCAAGGGACACCTGACAGCAAGGGACACTCCCGACAGCAAGGGACACTCCTGGCAGCACGGGACCCTCCCGGCAGCAAGGGACACCTCCTGACAGCAAGGGACACCTGACAGCAAGGGACACTCCCGACAGCAAGGGACACTCCTGGCAGCAAGGGACACTCCTGCCACAGCCCGGGCCCGTCTGCACCCCGAGCTTTTCTGGGGTGGTCCAGCCAGGTGGGAGGAGGTGAGAGCTCCAGCAGGGCCCGTGCCAGGCTCTTCCCCAGCCCTGCTCCGGCAGCACCCCCGGGCTGAGCCTGTCCTGCAGCACCCCTGGGTGCACCCCGAGCACCCCGGCGCCTCCTCCAGAGCAGCTTTTCCTCCAGGAAGCCCCGGGGGCAGGGCTGGAGGCTGAGCCAGCGCCGCGTTCCCCGCTCCAGGCACCTCTTCCCTCTCCTCTTTCTTACCTAGTCCCTGCTCTGACACTGAGCTCGCTCAAGTGACCCGGTTCCTTCCCGTTTCCTGCTTCCAAGCTCCACGCCAGCCATTTATCACCTTTCCCTTTTGAGTCTCCTTGCAGGGAGAAGCACTGAAAAGAAATCCACAACCTTATTGTCTGCTTGTTTTCCAATACAGTGAATTTATTATATGTTGCAAAATCAGCATTCAGCTTTTTTAGTGTACAAAAAAAGGACACTAGCTCTTAAGAAAAAAGATTAGGAAAGCTGAAGACTATGCTGCCTTGAAATTGTAACATTTTGGCAAAGTGAAAAGCTCTTTTGTAAACTCCAACTCCATGGCTCAATATAGTTTTTATCCACAGTACAATATTACAAAGTAAAACACAGTATCAATAAGTTAAGATCATACTTAAATCACCTAGAACTGGTTTCTATTAACCCAAAAAGCACAAAATTTTGCCTAAGCTTCGTCGTCTCTAAAAAGAAAAAAAAAAAAAAGGAAAAAAAAAAGGCAGATTCGACTACAAGTCTTTAACACAGTCCAAAAGAAAAGTGAAGCAGGAAGTTGGTGGATGCTAATTGGGTCTCACAGTTTGGATAATTAATTAAATATTTTCAGGGTTTTTTTTATATTCAAATTTTTTAGAAGTTCCAGAATATACATGTAAATGTACACAATACATCTTTGTATACAACTCTGTTTGCAAAAATATCTTATAGCAGATGTATAAAGATTGAGATCCATCTCTATCCCCCCCCTCCCCAAGCAACAACAACAAAAAAAACCCCTCCTTTCAAAATCTTAAGGATCAGGAGAAGTGTTTCCATGGAAGAATTTACTCATCCTGGCTTTGGAGCTGCTGCCTCTTCTGCCATCCCGAGTTCCGCCTCCTCCGCAGTCGCAACGAAGCCCCCACCAAGCACTGGGGAAATTCAGATTTTCCACCCCAAAATCCCAGCCTTGGGCAGGGCCGGGCTGTGCAGTGACAATCCCAGAGCAGGGCTGAAGATTTGGGATGTGCCAGGTCCCCCTATCCCTTCCCACTGAGGATTTGGGATGTGCCAGATCCCCTCATCCCCTCCTGGACCCCCAGATTTGGGCTGAGGATTTGGGATGTGCCAGGTCCCCTGGTCCCCTCCCAGATCCCAAATGGGGCTGAAGATTTGGGATGTGCCAGGTCCCCAGATTGGGGGATTTGGGACAGGCCAGGTCCCCTCATCCTCTCCCAGAGTGGGGCTGAGGATTTGGGACGTGCCAGTCCTCTCATCCCCTCCTGGATCCCCAGACTGGGGCTGAGGATTTGGGACAGGCCAGTCCCCTCATCCCTTCCCACTGAGGATTTGGGACAGGCCCGTCCCCCCATCCCTCCCAGCCCCCCTGGCTCCGCTCCAGGCCGGAATTCCCAGCTGTGATTCCTGGAGCACCAGGACTCCCAGCCCCACCTCCCTGCCCCCAGAAGTGCCGTGGTTCTCCAGGAGCACCAGAGGCAGGAGGTGCTGCCCCAGGGCTCCCCGGAGCAAAGCACTCCTGACCCCGGGGATCCCAGCAGGAATGCCCGGGGGGTTCTGGGGTGCTCCCCCTGTGCTCCTGGGGCACGAGGAGCCTTCTCCACCCTCCTCCTCCACAGGTTTGGGGCTGAGGACAGTGGAGGACTGGTGGCATCCCGAGGGCCACCATGTCACCCTGGCTGTCACCTTTCCCTTGGAGAAGGGGATGGCAAAGCCCTGCTGAGCACTGGATGCACAGGGAGAGACCCCAGAATAAAGTGACAAAGCAAAAGCAGTGGCCCTGGCTGTGTGACAACAACGAAATTATAATATAATAATAATAATTAGTAATTTTATCTCCTATTTTTAATACAGCAGATGGACCCACGTTTTGTTTGGGGCAAGGGAAAAAAAACCAACCCAAACTCAAAATAACTCCTTGTTGTAAGAAGTGTTTCCCTCCTGAACTCTGCCATTCCTCTCCTTGAAAGGGTGAAAGGCTCTTCAGTGCAACCTCCAAGGGAAGGAGACTCCACAGGGAAGGAATCCTTTACTTTGAGATAAACGGAAGCGGGGAGAAGTCAAATCCCACAGGCTGGCAGGATTAAAAAGGGGAGAGGGGAGAGAAAGAAAGGAACAGCAGAGTTAAAGGACACCTTTGTGCTTTTTGGAGTGTTTCTCACACCCTGGCCATACTCTGAAACGTTCCCTTCAATCCAAAGGAAAGAATTAAATTAAAAAATCAGGAAGCAGGACTGCAGGGAGAAGCTGGCTGAGATAAAGCACACCAGTGGAAGGGATCTGCGTGGGAAAACAGCACCTTACTGCTCTCACAAGGATTTGCTGCTGCCTTGCAAAGACACACAGACACAGACACAAAAAAAAATAAAAATACCCCAGGAGAAAGCAGAGCACCCCCACCCCCTCCTCTCATGGATCAAGGAATAAAGTCACTCCTCGGGTGACTCCTGGGTCAGTTTTAGCAGTACTGCAAGGAAAGGGTCCCAAGCACTTGGCCTAAAAGGAAAAGGGAGGCACAGTTTTACAAAAAAGATGCTTTTTTTTTCCTTTGATATATAAAAATAGACCATAGTCTCATTAGCAATTAACAAAATTGGCTGCCTTGGTAGAAAATTAGAAAAGTCAAAGCCAGACAGGTCTCCATCTTCCCAGCACTGGAGGCTGGAGGTGAACTGGGCAGACTGGGCAGGAGGTTTGCACCCAAAACACAAAGCAGGTAAAAAAAAGGGGATTTGGGGTGTGGTTTTTTTTTTTTTTTGGGATCCACCTCTGCCCTGGCCAAAGTGCTGAGCCCCAGGGGACCCCCCGTGCTGGCAGCACCCCCCAGCCCCAGGATGGCAATGACAAAGCAGGGCCAGACAAGGAGAGCTCAGGGAACGTGGTGTATTTCCGCGGAGCCGCGAGCACAGCTCTCATTCCAAACAGTCCTAGCAGCAATTCCAGTTCCTCACCATGTGTAGGACAATTTGTAACCCACGTGGAGCTGGGGAATTATTACAACTTCATGCCAAACTTTTAATCCATGAAAACTACAGATTCTTAACCTTTGGGAGCTTCGGTCACTTTAGGCAAGTTTTCCCTTAAGTGTCAAACGCTGGCTTCAAATAAGCAGAATTTTTTTTGTTTGGTTTTTTTTTTGTTTGTTTGTTTTTTTTGTTATCCATTTGTTACATTCCAACATTCAGAGAGGCTTAAAAACTCGGGAGGAGCGTGCTGGACGTGGACATGACAGATCTGGCATCTTAAAGTCATCCCCAAGTTCTTCAACCACGAGGAATTAATGCTCGTCTCTGAAAGGGATTTTGGGTGTATAAAAGGGAACGTAACGTCCAGGGTGACTGGATTTTGGTTTGCCCTACCCAGTCCAGGGGTGAGTGGCAGCTAAAACTGCTGCTGGTCATACTCTGCTATCAGTTTTTTGATGTGGGCCAGTTTGTTGTGGAGGTATTCGCAGCGGTTCTTCTCTTGGCTGTAGTTGGGGTTTGTCTGCAAAATAAAACAAAACAAAAAAAAGGAAGTGCAGAGGTGGGAAAGGTTCTGGACAAATCAAAGCTGAGCCTTGAGAGCACAGAGCAGATCATGGGATGGTTTGGGATGGAGGGAATGCACAGATCTCATCCCATGGGCAGGGACACCCTCCTGTCCCAAGCCCCATCCAAGACTTCCAGGGATCCAGGGGCAGCCACAGCTTCTCTGGGAATTCCCTCCCAGGGAAGAATTTCCTCCTAAGATCCCACCTAAACCTCCCCTCTTTCAGCTTCAAACCATGGAAAGAACCTTTTGTAGATCCCTCTTTAGAACAGTCCTGCTCTGATCAAACCCAGGCAAGAATCAAATCCCTTTGCAGCATCATCCAGCTCCAGGAGCCTCCTCACAGGGAAGGAGCACACCTGAGTCAGGCTCAGCCTGACTGGGCTTCCAACAATCACCACCTGCCCTCTGCCCCCACCTCTGGAACAAAGATGGACTTCCAGCATGCAGGGAACATCTTCAAAGAGCTCCTAAATCCCTCAGCACCACATTCACTTATTTAAAATAAAAAACCCCAAATCCCCACTGGTGCGTGGATGCTCCGCATAAAAATACTGAAACTTTATGTGGCCCAAACTCCAAAAATGTGGGGACAGAGCTCCAGACAGAGGCTGATCCCAGCTGGGATCCTGTTATCCCTCAGCCTGTGCATCTGGAACACAAACTGTTCCTTCCCTGGAGAGATAAAGCCTGGGTGAACGCAGCCATTGTGCCACGGCCACGGCTCAGCGAGCCCCAGACCCAGGGGCACTCCCAGCTCCCCCCAAACCCTTTCTGAGCTGCTTTTAGGGACGGGCTGGAGCTGAACAAAGATCTGCTGGAATTGCCTCAGAGCCTGGGCTTGCTCTTGGCAAGGGCCCATCTCTTTCAGTCACACCAGGGGCACCACCCAAAAGCCTTCTGTGGCCAAGGACATTCCCTTACCTTTTTAATTTTTCGATATTCCTGTAAAATTTGATCGTGGATGGTCTAAAAAAAAAAGAGAAAATAAATAGGGCATTATTTTCAGTTCTGCAGTAGGTATTTACTCAATGTACACAATTCCTCCAAATTCCAAGCAAAATCTGCTGCCTCCATGGCTTCCCTGGGCAGATCCAAAGGCTACAGCCAGCTCTGATTCCATGGATATCCTGGAGCTCACACAGAAGGGTGAAACCCCTGTCCCCACTTGTGACAAGCACCTGGATTCCAGGATAATTCACATTTCCAAAACCCCAACTGATCTTTTTTTTTTCCCCCCACCAAGATCTAACAATAATCCAGTGAGGAATTTTGCAAGGGGAAGGGCAGGAGGTTTGAGGGAGGACGCTGTGCTTAGCACAATAGGTGCTCTGTAAAAATCTGTTTATTATCCTCGACGAGGCTCACTTTTTCAAGCTAATGAATAGCTAAAACTCTTTAAAAATCACTCTGACAAGCCCAATAATGCTGCATTATTAGGATCAAAGATTGCAGAGGAACAGATGACCCCGTGCTAACTCCCCTTCCAGCCCTGATACGCTCCCATATGTGCAAATATGAGTTTTTCTGGCTGGGATACACTAATAGCTTCCAGCAGCTTTTGGCTAAGGACACCAATTGTCTCACTGAGGCCTTTCCTTGTCAACAAGTCCCATGATGTGGCTCCAGCCTGAGAAAGGAGCAGCACAGAGCTGGCTCAGGAGCACTCCCCGGCGCTGTCAGCTGCGCGCACGTTCCCCAGCAGCCCCGGGGCTGCAACTGAGCCACGGCCCAGCCCCGGGGGAGCAGCTCCAAGAGCCGCAGCCCCGAAAGGAGCCCTGCTCCCACCTTGTACTCCTCGGAGCCCTGCAGAAGCTGCTTCAGCTTGGCATCCAGCTGGGTGAAGCGTCGGGTTATGCGCTCTATCCGGGCGTGCAGGTCCCGGTACTCGCTGTACTCCGCGTTGAAGTCGTTCTTGTAGCTCTGGCGCTGCTCCGAGGAGGAAATGGCTGCGTATTTTCTGCAGGGGAAAGGCTTGGGCAGTGGGTTCTGAGGGGGGATTGGGCTGGGGGATTGGTTTGGGGGGGATTGGTTTTAGTGGGGGATTGGTTTGAGGTGGGGGGATTGGTTTGAGGTGGGGGGATTCTCTCTGGGTTGCCGAGCATGGGGGGATGAGCATGGAAATAAAATCATGGATAATCTGGGATCATCTAAATGGGGTTTTGGGAAGGAATTCTTCACTGGGATGGAATTCCCAGAGAAGCTGTGGTTGCCTCATCCCTGGGAGTGTTTGGAGCACCCCGGGGTAGTGGAAGGTGTCTGTGCCCGTGGCAGGGGTGGGACTGGATGGGTTTCAGCTCATTCCAGCCCAAACCATGCTGGGATTAAAGCTCAAGATCAAATCCCAGCACTGCCAAGGCCACCACTAAACCATGTCCCCAAGTGGCTGAAATCCCTGCAGGGATGGTGATTCCCTGTCCCAGTGAAGAAATTCTCCCTAATATCCCCTCCAAACCCCCCTGGTGCAGCTCGAGGCCATTTCCTCTCATCCTGCCTTGCATTAAAGTAGCAAATTATGGAGGCAACCACCAAGGATTGTTGCCTTGACCTCCTGCAAAACAAACAATGTTTGCTCCCAAAACTTCCTATCTCTGCCAGATAGGGTGGGATGGGCAGGTACAGCCAAGGCTGGGGCAGCTGGGGGTGGAGGAGGACACTCAGATAGTGCTGCTACAGCTTCTCTGGCTCCTGCTGGCCCGCAGAACATGGAGTTCTGCATCTGTGCCAGGCATTGGAACAGCAGGAATATGATGCTTCCAGTGTTAAGAGTCTTGAAAGGAACACAAAAAGCATTGAGCCATCGTTGCAAAACGCTGGCAGGGTGATTATGTGGCAAGAACACGACAAGAAAGCACGGTAAGGAGTTTTGTTCAGTTTTTTTTTTCCACCAGCAACTCTATTTCCAGCACCTTCTAGAGATACTTGATGTGTCCTGAGCTCAGGTTGAACTGATGTGCCTTTGGGGGCCTTTTGGAAGTTATTCTGCTCAACAAAAAGCCATTAAAGCTGATATTTACAGCTCTCTCTGAAGGCAAAAATCATCTTTTGGTAGGTGATGGCTCAAATTTGCCTCCCTGCTCTGGCTGCAGCAGGGCCAGCGTGGTGCCTGAACATGGAAAAGCTGATTTAGGCCTCAAATTAACGGGGAACTTCCAGTTTTTTTAACATTTTCTGTGCTCTAAACTTCTAGAATGGACTCCTTGCCAGGGGCTGGGATAAAGAACCATCCACTCAGGATAACAGTGACAGCTCTTAGAATTTGAGGAGCTGGGCACAAACCAGTCAGATCGCACTGGGTGAGAGCACAGAGCTCCCAGAGCTCAGAAACCTCTCCCAGTTTCTTTGGGAGGGGCCCAAGGAGCTGCAATATCCCACTCTGGAGCCCACTCTGCAATATCCCATCTTGGGAAGGATCAGCACGTGGCTGAGAGAAAAAAACCACCCCCAGCCACATGAATTCAGTGGGATAACCCTAAAAATGTCACCTTGAAGGGGTTGTTTGTATGGCTGATCCAGCCCAGCAGAGCAGAAACCACAGCAGAAACCTTTATCTGCCCTGGAGCTTCCTCCTCCTCCTCCTCCTCCTCCATCCTTCCCTCCCAGCACAGCCAAACCAGCTCTGATGGAAACAACCCCAAGGCTGGGACATGCACAGGGAATTTTCCCCCCCAGATACAAGTTTTTCCCTACCCCAAAGCTTTGTTTAGAACAGGTTTGGGTTTATGCAGATTAATTAACCTCGAGGGGATCTGATTAAAGAGTCAAGAAACAACTCAGATCCTAACCCAGGGGTTAGAGCCTCCCAGGAAAGAATATTTCACTGCTTTATGGAGAGGATCTTGGCTCTGAAGAATTAACAAAGCACCCCAAATCCTTCCTTGCCCTGCCTTCCCCAGCACAAAAGCAGATTATTCCCTCTCCAAGTTCCCAGCTGGAACGTGGAGATGTTTAATCCTCACAAACCCCTCTAAGGTATGAAATGTTTCTTGAAATGCTTAAACAATTTCTAGGAGATAACCTTGAACTCCTCAACGAGGTAAAAACCAGCTTTGATATCAAGTTTAGTCTCAACTATTAATCTGCAGAGCTGGGTTTGCTCTTTCCTTTACTCCCACCTAACAAAGTTCTATCAAATAACACAAAAAGTCCAACAAAAATCCCCAGCACGTTGTGATTTCTTAGCCTGAAACATGATCCCAAAGTGATGAAGCAACTGATAAACATACTTACAATAAATAATCTGGCATTTCTGAAGTTGATGTTGGTACACTAGAATTATTGCATGTTCCATTTAAACCTGAAAAAATAAAGATTTGTTTACAGACGTTCTTAAACTTCAAAGCTTTTTGCAATTCAGCTTCAAACTCGTAAAACTTGCCTGCAATATACAGTTTATGGAATTCTAAAGGATTTCTGTTTTGCTTGGAACTGACAGAGGCAGAGGAGCCACAACAAGGTGGCTGAAAGTTCAAGGCTCCTCCAGTATTTGTCTGTCAGCAAAACAACACCAACAGCAGCCTGTGCACCGAGCAGGGAAAAAATCTGAATTTAATTGGTGGGTAAACAGTGCCTGGAGTGGGAGAACACTGAGAGCACCACTGGGGAGGAGGAAAACACAGCCCTGAGCCCAGAGAGCTGGGCTGGGCAAGGGAAACCCTCTGCTCTCCTGCTCCTACACTCCAGAGATTCCTCTGGGCATCTCCAGGGTGAGATTCCTGAATGAACATCCCAGAGCCCCACAGAGAGGGTTTTAGGGAATGCAGCTCCAAGCACAAATCCAGGCATTAAAGAATGTTCAGAAACTGAAGGAAGAACAGAATAAACCTAAAGCAGGCTCATCTCCACATCCACCAAGCAGTGCAGGGTAAATGTGGACGGGGAAAGCAGCTGGATCCACGTTTGGAAAGGGACATTTTCCACACATTATTATAAATGTGTCTTACATTCCAAACCTCAGCAGATGCAGCTGCACAACCTGAGTCAGCAGTACCCTGCCTGCATCCTTAAAAAGATGGAATTTCCTCTGAATTTCCTGGTAAAAGCTTTCCTGAGCAGGATGGGAGAATGGCACAAGCCCAGAGTTTCTGAAACCATCCCAACCCCAAACTCCTGCTGCAGCTCCTCCTGCTTTTCCTCCCTTCCTGACCACAGTGTGGAAGATGCAGAACGGGGTTTAAGGATGGTGGAAGGGACACAGGAGCTTTATTTTGCCTGTGAGTGCCACCTACTGACTGAAAGGACCCCAAAGGTCCCTCCAGAGGCTCTGGAACAAAATTCCTGGGAGAAACTCCCACTCCTGGCAGGTGGTGGAACCAGAGGAGCTTTAAGGTCCTTCCAACCCAAACTTTTTGTGATTTTCTGCTTGCCTACAGCTCCAGGGGGGACTGTGGGGAAGGAGCAGGAGGAGGCTGGTGCTGCCCACAGAAGGAAAACATCCCAGTTGTGGCTGTCCAGGATCCAGGCAGGACTGACCACATCCTGTTTATGATTGCTCCCAGCCCAGCTCGTGTTTGTTACCTCAAAACAGCAGCAGGAACAAACCCCAACTCCCAATAATTAACAAAAATCCAGGAATTAAACAGTAAAGTGAAGCAGAAAAGGTGGTGGAGGAGGCTCAGCAATTTCCCAGGAATTTGGGTATTTATAAGTCAAAAAGAGAGAATGTGTGAGTGTCTCTCCAGAACCACTCCAGAGGCTCATGGGGAAGAGAAACAACATGGAAAAAACACAACATTCACAGAAAAAACCCGGGATTGACACAAAAGTGAAGAATTCTCAGCCCTGCAGTGCCACAGCCAGCAGCCCCACGGACTGTCCTGAGCCATCAAAATGAATTTTGTCACTGCTGCAAAGCCTGTGGGGAAGGGGAGGGCTGGGAGCAGCTCAATCCCAACAGCCTGAGAAGTTCCCCCTTTCCAGGAATCCAGCAAACCAGTGTCCATTTTAAAATATTGTCCTTTTGGAGCCAAAGCTGGAGGATTTTCATGCACCAAGGAGGAAGGGAAATGTAGAAAATAGTAACAGGGTGAAGGAAAATGCACAAAGGAATTTAACAGATATTCCCAGAGGCTGCAGGGAAAGTCCCAGTGCTCTGGGGAGCTGTAACCAACAGCAGAAAACATGGAAACAGCAGGAAAAGGAACGGATGGGATCAGCCAAAAATATTCTCTGCTCTGACTTCTGAGAGTGCACGGACCTGACTTTGGAATAGTGGCTTGATGGAAAATGTTTTCACCCCACCTCAGTGAGATTCACTGCTGTGTCAGCCCTTGGATAAATAAATCCCCAGCCCAGTGGGACGTGAGGAAGCTTTTCCAGCCTGGAAGAGCTGGTTCTCCACTGCTCTAACAGCATTTATCACCAGGTTTATCTATCATTTCTTTTGTAGCCAATTTTAAAAGCTTTTGTGAGTAACTTTTCATTAAAAACCCAAACAACAGTCATCACAACAGCCAACACAAGCGCTGCACTGCTCTTCCCACTGCTCCCAGCCTTTCATCCCCACACATTAGCCCAGCTTTTAATTGAACCAGGAGAAACATGACACGCTCTGAGGCAGCTCCAAAAGGTTAAACAGGAAAAACCTGATAGCCTGTGTGGAGAGGAAGCACCTCTGGTGATTTGGAAGGAGGACAGCGCTGGCATTTGGGTCCCCAGAGCACCTGGCATGGCCCAGGACGTGCCCATTCCTCCAGGGAATCCTGGCATCACACCCAGCCAACAGCAAAGCACCTCCGGGCCCCCACTCACCTGGGACCTGCTCCTGGGCAACACTAACTAAGTCAGCATTTTTTATTACTTCACAGTTCTGCTTCTCCTCTTTGCACTTCTCGTCGCTCTTCTTCTCCTTCCTCTCCTTCTCCTTGTCTTTGTGCTTTTTGGATTTTTTCTTGGATTTGACGTAGGAGCCGCAGTTGTGTTTGCTGCTCTGGGCACAGTCTGTGGGCAGGGGGTGACTCAGTCTCTCGGGAGGCTCCGTGCTGCTCTCACAGTCTCTGCCGTTGTGAGCCAGGTCGTTGCTGACATCCGAGAGGGGGTCGTGGGGCCTGGGCAGCTCCAGGGCCGGGAGGGAGGAGCTGGAGCTCACGGGGGGCTCCAGCGCCGGGGGCAGGGCAGGGGGGGCCAGGCTGTCCTTCCCGTTGGAGGAATTCAGCTTCCCGTTGAGGGTGGGTTGGGTTCTGTGAGCCAAATGAGAGATCCTGGGCTTTTTGTTGGCCAGGGGGTCGATGAACTCCACAGGTAAGGGTCGTTTCTGTTCGGGAGAGGGGGGAAAAGGAGAAATAAATCGGGGTGAAGGCGCAGGAGTGGAGCTGGCTGCTGCCACTAGGTGGTGGTGCAGCACAGGGGAGAAGGATGAATGTCCCCGGGAAAAGCAGATCATCCACCCCAAGCTGCTTCCCAGAGCCCACGGTTTGGTGGGACAGCTCAAAGAGTCCCATCAGCAATTCCTGAGCTCCCCTATTATCCACACACAGCCCCAGCCCGCTCTCACTGCAGCTTCTCTCAAACCCAGCCCTCTGGAACTCAAACTCTGCAGCCTCCCTCCCCCTGTCCCAGGCAATCCGAGTGGAAATATCCCTGGAAGTGTCCCAGGCCAGGCTGGACAGGGCTTGCAGCAGCCTGGGACAGTGGAAGGTGTCCCTGCCCATGGCACGGGTGGCACTGGATGAGCTTTAAGCTCCCTTCCAACCCAAACAATTCCAGGATAAAAACATCTGTCCTGAGCACTGCAAAATCCCTGTGAAGGAAAAACGTGCTCAGCCCTCTGGAGCAGGGAGGGATTCATCAGTTCTGCATTTTATTCCCAGCTCTGTGGCCAAGAGCTTCACCCCTTCCCTGCTCCTTCCTCTTGTCAAGAGCGCGGCATCGCCCGGAAGGGGGGAGGAAGTGCCAAGTGCTCAGAACTTCAGTTCTCAGAAGTTCAGGCAAAAGGGGACATCTAGGAAGCCACGTCACAGGGGCCAACGTGACCTGAGCAGCCCTTTTTTGAGCAAGGGTAGAGAAGGAAGTGGTTCCCAGCTGTGCCCACAGCTCGGAGGCAGCTGCCTGCAGCCTGGACAAGCTGCTCCATGGAAGAACCCATCCATCAGGTTCTGCCCAGCCAAAACCACCCTCACTGTGTGCCCACCTGGCAGCCTGGGGCTGCAACAGCTCTCAGCCAAGGAGGATTTTTGTGCCCAGAGGAAAACAAGCGATAGCTCTGGGTATTTCTTTTGGATAATCCATTATTTTCTTTCTGTCTCAGGCAGGATGGCGACGTGTTTGCGAATGGAAATGTTGTTCCACCCAGCTGCATGGTGGCTGCAGCAGCCCCCAAGTCCCTCTTTTTCACCTGGATTTCTCTCTCTTTGCTAACTCAGGGGTCTTGAGGACACTGCTCAGTGCCAGGAATTCTTTCCACCTGTCAGGGTAATTAAGGAAGAGCTGCTGGTTCTGCCACTGAGCTCAAGGGGCAAGGACAGCACGTCCGACCGGCTTGGCAACATCACCTCCCCAGGAGGGGCCATCTCCCTCTGCAGGGCTCTGAATGGGTGACACAGCTCCAAAATCTGCCACATTTTACAACCTTTCCTCTGAAAACAGCCAGTATCAGCTTCTCCAAACTCAGCTCTCTGCTTAGGAGGGTTATATGCATCCATTTTCTAGAATTACCAGACCAATCCTCTTCACCTTCATTCCACAGCTGAACCTTCCCAAAATATTCTGCATTCCAGCCTACCAAATCCCAATCCTCTGCTGGCACTGCACCCCTTACAAACTATTTCTCTAAATAGAAACGACAGCCAGGGAGTATTAAAAAAGTGACAGCTCACAATGCTGTGGTTTGCTGTCTGACACGACAGAATCATGCTGGAAACATTCATATTCCACACTGGGTTGTCCCTGTTTCACCACCTTTCCTAAATCCAAGCCAAAGTTTCAGCTGGGTCATTCAGAGAGATCCAAACCTCACCCTAAAGACCTCTGAATCTTTAAAATATGGACAGCCAGAGAAACAAGATGATTTTTCAGCCTTAAGAAACGACACAAGCCCAGGATCTTTCAGAGCTAACTTGAAGGTGATCATTCTTCATTCACCAGGAACAAGCCCACAGCAGAGCAGCAGAGGATCTGGAATCAGCTACCTGGCAAACAAGTTACACAGTCCTTGTTCTCCACAGAGAATTGCCTCTCTCTCAGTGCCAGAGAGCACATAATTTCTTTACCTGTTAATATTCTTTGCCACTAATCCTCGGTGCGTCTGTCCAGACAAGCAGGCATTACACATTCCATTGGCAGGAGAAGAATAAATACTCAACTTGTCTGGGCTGACCCACACTGCAAGAAGGGAAGGCAGAACGTTTCACAACGCCAGCAACGCCTGTGCTGGGAGATCCTGGGAGAAGTGGGGACAAAGCTCTGCTTGACACGCGTCAAACGTGGCTCCTGGGTGGTTTATGGTCATGGAAAAAACAGGCAAAATGTTCTTTTCACAGCTCCCTGCTCTGGCATCTCCCAGGCAGGAGCAGCCCAACCTGCCCCTGATCTGTCATGGCAATTAGGCTGCAAAAGGTCAAGGGTTTTAATAACTCAGCCATGTTTGGGAGCTGCTTATTACAGCTTCGTTCCACTCAATTATTAGTAATGAGGAAAACACAAGCTCCTTCTCCCAGGAACTCCACGAGGGATGGAGGCACTGCAGAAGGAATTTAGCCCTTAAAACTAAACCTGAGCCTCTTTGTCAGAGATCCTCCCCACAGGCCCTCGCTGAGCCACGGCCAGAGCAGAAACAGATGCTGAGCAAAGCCAGAAGGAGACTCCAAGTTAATAAAAGAGAAATAAAAGCCCAAGGAGCTCCTGACCCGGCAGCAGGTGATTACAGGGTGCAGACAGGCCCAGCTCAGCCTGGAGCCAGGGCCAGCAGCCAAATCAGGCTGGCAGGGGCATCACCCACCTGAGGGGGAGAGCTGGAGCTGAGGGTGTCCTTCGGAGGGCTCAGGGAAGGAGCTTCTCCCTGGAAAGCGCCGCTGTTCTGGGGCTGGCACAGCTTCCTGCAAAACACAAAGGGCTGCTGCACCCTGTGCCCAGCTGGCACTGCACACCTGGGGCTCCTCCTGGGCTCAGGCCCTGCTGGAAGGTGCCGTGAAGGAGCTGGGTCAGGCTCTGGTCTCTCACAAAATCCGGGGAGGAGAAACTACTATGGGAAAATGTCAAAGATAAATTGGAATTTCTCATCTCCTCCTTGCTTTCCCATGATTTTTGTGGCTCTTTGGCAATGGAAGGAACACCTTGGAGCTCTTGGACACATGAAAGGAGTCCCTGTTGAATTTGGAACTCATTTTTTAACAATTTTACTTTTTTTCTCCTGAACTGGTGACGTAAGAATTAAAACAAATTAATTCCAGCCTCAGACACATAATTCACACAGAGATCAGTGAAAGTGGCACTGAATTTGAATGTGTAAAGGATATCAGATATTATTGCTGCTGATTGAAATACAGCTCAGGGAGACATTAATTAAACAAATTTCTGCTGAGTGTTTGCTTTCTGAGACAGCTCAGAAAGCAAAGCCCACTGAAGAGGGGCTGAAGCTCAAGCTCAGATGAGGAGGAATAAGTTCTGTCACTCATTAGCATCATTAAAACAACATTTTATGGCAACAGGAGCCCTTTCAGCAGCGAGCTCCTCTGGGTCCAGGAACAGCAGCATTGTAACAGGAACTGCTGAGGTATTATTGGTCCACCAGGATTTACATTTTGGGCTTCCCAATAATACTTTTAAGTTGCATCATGCACAACAGAGCTACTCTGGGCTGTATTTGTGGTATTGGACAAATAAAAAAAAACTTTTGTAGCAACAAAAAGTACAATTAGAATCACTTGAATTCCCCTCCAGGCTGGGTCTCTGCTCCTCTGCAGATCTCAGAGTATTCTGACACCAGACTGCCCCTCAATGAATCATCCCCCCAAAAAAAAAACCCTCTACTCTTGCATCAAGTTGCAGCTGACAAAGTGAAAAAAAAAAAATAGAATTCAGGGTTAAAGGTTTTAATAAAGCAGCTCTACAGTCAGTTTGTCAGGAGCTGTGGAGCCTGAATAATCCCACTTTTAAATTCTCCCACAAGCACCTGGAATCAGCATTAAAGCTCACTCATATCCTTTAAACATTGGGAAGATTTATCTCAGAGATAACGCCCAGGACTTGACAAGATCTGGCTTTTACCCTGAGCCTGAACCTTGGGCTGTGCTGCAGCAATATTTACACATCTGCAGTGTCACCACTGTCCTGGCTCTGTTTAGTTTTATTTAAAACAAGCTCAGCAGCCACAGATCAACTCAAGGAAAGGACCTGGGGATTGTGAACACAGGGCACTGATACTGCCCACACAGCCCAGTGAAAGTGGCTTTTGGAGCAAGCCTGTCACACCTTCTAATTGTTAATTAAGGATTTAAGGAGTCATGAAAGCACTGAGTTCAGCAGAGGAAAGATTTCAGGGAGTCCTGGAATGGTTTGGGATGGAGGGAGCTGAAAGGCTGGGACACCTCCCAGAGCCCAGGCTCCTCCCGGGTGACAGAGGAAACATGGAAAAGATAAAGGAGGAAAAAACGAGCTGGTTTAACCCAAGCCTGGTTAGACCCAGCTTTAGTAGCTGCAGAAGTGTGAATTACTGCAGCTGCTGAGTGGCCACTGGCCCTGCAGTCCAGGAGGACCTGGAACCATGGGCTGCTGATGCACCCCTGTGCTCCTGTGCCCTTTTGCTGTTTTTCTCCTGTCTTCAACCCAACATCTTTTGTTCCCATTTTGGAGCCTCATTACCTGCACAGCCTGAGCAGGGTTTTGTTTGTACAGTTGAATACATCCTTCCCAAGGTCTATTTTTAGACCCTCGCCCAAGTGAATGCCACAATTCTAGAAAAAGGAGTAAACATGGCTTTTCTACAGGGAGAAATTCACTTTGGGTATTTTTTTGTTGAAAGCCATAAAGATGGCATGGCAGCTGTATTTTCCCTTTTAATTCTAATTTCACATAAGGCCATTTAAACTATTTTGATTTTCCCTGAGCACACCTTGGAGTGCAAGTTTTCTGTTGTTTAAAAAGTCTCATCTCCAAGTCAATTGTGCTTTTAAATCATGGGAAGTGCTCAAACAGAGCATGCTGTGCTTCAGCTTAACCAAAAGTGCAATAAAAGCACAAGTAAAAGCTCTGCCTGCATGACAAAATCTAAACCAAGGCACTGAAAAATATCAACACTGAGAGCAGAATTCTGTGTAAAACTGGAGATTCTTTCCCTGCCAGCCAGAAGCTTCCAAGCTTGGAGCTTCACCTAAGGAAAATATCTCTAGAGGGAAAAAAATTCCAGCAGTAAGGATGAACTGAGTCAGTTAAGGGCTGTTCCAGGAAGGAACATGGGAACAGAGATCACACTCCAAGCAGGACAACCAGCAGCATTTTAAAGGATTCATCCCTACAGAACAACCTCTTGCTTTTCCACGCATCCACGATTTCAACCCAATCTCACATTTAGGGATGAAACACTTCAGCCTGCACAGGAAGATGTGGAAAAAAGGAAGGAGAGTTTCAAAGGACACATTTCATCACCTCATCTCCCAGGATTTCAGACCAGCAGTGCTGACTCTGCCAGCTCTGCTCCCTGGCAGCTTTCCCCCAAGCTTTGCCTGTAATGATTTAAGGACAGCCCAGGATGATGTGAAGAGTGGCTCCACTTGGATTTTCAAGTTTATTCCACTCCTACAGGTCCCTGGGTGATGGACAGTTTAAAATGAAGTCAAAAGAAGTCACACACTCAACTTCAGACCCTGGTCACCCTGATTTACAGAACCTTCCCTGGGTGATATCACAGAGAAGAAAATGGATAATTACCTAACGAGGATCCTCTTCAACAACTGCTGATCTCCTTCTGAGTAGCCAGGCCAGTCCTTCTGCACCTCTTTGTATACACAATCTTTCAGAGTGAAAGTGCTGTCCTTGGCACTCAGATTTGCCACCTGCAACAGAAGGAATTTGGAAAGCCATCATCAGGGTTTCATTTTCTCACTTCCTCCACCAAACAAGAGCTAAGATGAAGGCAAAATCTGAGCAGACTTAGCAGCTGTTAGTAGTGTCAGAGAACAAGGAGAGACTTTAATATTTCATTTCCTTATTATTAAGATTATTTAATCAAACTGTGCCTTGTCACTGCAATAATTCATAATGAGCTTCTAAAGCACATCCAGTTGAGTGGGAAATAAGTCACATCTAAAAGAGATTATTCAGCTGGGGGAGCCTGGACCAGCACAACAGCACTTGATGGAAACACCTGGAAATGAAGCCTTAATGGAACAGGCAGTTCACTTATCACACCTGTCCCACAGCCAAAATGGGGCAGTTTATGGCCAAAGAGGAACTCTGGGGCGATAACTTGGTTAACAATTGCCAGGAGATAATTTCTCACTAATGAGCCAACAAAGCAGGCCCCAGAGAGCTGCTTTCTCAGGGAGCTGTGAGGAGAATGCCCTGGGACCACCTGGATTTTATGGAGAACCTCAGACCCTGGCATTTCCAGCCTCAGGCCAGCAGAGCACTGCAGCAGCTCAGCACACTTGCAGCAGCAGCTGCCTGACATTTTATCCAACCCTGCCCGTGGAGTTTCCCCACAAAAGCCTGCGTGGTGCCTGCACAGAGAGAAGCTGCTGGAATGGGCAGAGCTGGATTAGAATGGAAACAAACTGGGAAAGTGTTACCCCACTTGGATCAGTCTTTCCACAGCCTGACTGAAAATTTAATTTCTTGCTGTTGGTACATGAAAATCCAGAGTTGGAACAAAGCAAAGAGCCCCAGTGAGGCTTTCACAGACAGTGAGCCTCTCCTGGGTGATGCAGAGTGTCGTGGAATGGTCTGGTCCCATCAGATTTCAAGGGCAGGGACACCTCCCCCTATCCCAGATTGCTCCAACCTGGCCTTGGACACTCCCAGGGATGGGGCAGCTTCTCTGGGCAACCTCAGCTTGCAGAGCACTGCAAGTTTCAAACGAAAATAAAGCCTTCAATGTGTTTGTGAAGGGGGATAAGGAGGCCCAGGTGCCAAATGCTCTGCCCACAGCCAGGCACAGCCAGCAGCTGCAGCCCAAACTCCCTGCTGGAGCCCCTCAGCTCGGGGACTGCTACCCTTGAAAGTGGAAAATGCTTTTATTCACTGCTTGGAGATCTTGTGCATCTGTTTAGGGATTACTGTTCTCCATTCAGGACCTGGCTGTGCTCAGGGATTTCTATTATCCACACAGCAGGAAAATGCCTCAAAAACAAGCAAAGGAGTGGGAAGTCTTGAAAGAACTGAAGATGCTGCTGATTCCCCTGCTTCTGCTTTAGGGAGGCTACAACCTAATATAAAAATATTCAAAATCTAGGCATTTCACAGCAAAAGGCTGCACAACCACCGTGGCAAACTCTCCTGATAAGCAAAAAATAGAAAGCCCAGTTATCAGTTTACATGACAAACACTTTGTTTTTCCTTTCAGTCCTGTCAGCTTTCCAAAATCCTGAGCCAAAATACAAGAAGAATTTGAGCTGTGTTTTACATCGAGGTATCCCTGTAAACACACCCAGGAGACAAATGCCAGCCCAGATTCTCCTTTACCAGAAAAAAACCCAAAAACCAACTCTCCCAGAATTTCTCTGTTTCCTGCCTGTTCCTGGAGCCCAAGAAGAACAACTTGGATTTTTTTCTCTGCACAGAGGCTGAGAGCTGCTACCTCCTTGTTTTGCTCGTGTGGGACTCTGCAAGCTCCACCCCAACCCTCCCAAAAATAGAAACCTTGCAAAATGAGGCAAAAAGGCCGCCAGGAACACGGAGTCCTGCGAGAGAGATGCAAGAGCACAATGAAACCCACACCTAGACAGATTTAGCTGGGTAGCTTTAACACAGCCTGTAATTTTTAGCTTATCTGTGTCTGCCTGTGGATGGGAGCCCTGGGAGGGCTGAGAGGGATTAACTTTAGGAGCTCCACGTTCACAGCCAAAGCACTGTTCAGCCCGAGCAGGGCAGCACCAGGGCCTGGGCACAGCATCCATCAGAGCCACCAGCAGAAACAGACTTTTCTACTCTAAAACTCAGGGAGAGAATTGGAAAAAGTGCTGCAAAAAGCTGCTGGGAAATGAAGGGCTCTGGGATTAAAGTCTAAGGAAGGAACGAGTTGTGCCAGCTGTGACTCTGTTCTTAATACCAGCTGCCCTGTGCCCTTGGGCAAAGTGAACTCCTGTCTCACTCTTTGTGGAAAGCAGGAAAAAAGAACAAAAATAAGGGTTTTTTCCAGAATCTATTCCAATCCAGAAGAAGACAGCTGCAGCATTTAAGTAAATAGCCATGATGTGTTTAATAAAGCAATGGAGGTGTTTACTGCCAGGCCTAAAATGGCACCTTTAATGTGACTCAAGTGCTAGGAACTGATTCAGCTGGGAGACAGCTTTCACACTTGACACACAAATAACGTGCTTGGCAAGGAGCTGCATCATCTTCACACCTGACCACTGGCACTTCCAAGCAGGAAAGGCTCTGAGGAGTACAAAAAAAACCTGGGGACATCTTTTCCTTCATATACAAAACTTGTACCAATACAGAGCATTGCTCCTTTATGTCCGTGAGAATAAAACAGAGATTTAGAGGTTATAATCAAATAATTTATAGATCCTCTGTTAAGAGAATCCTCCCCATGACCAAGCAGAAGTGTCCCTCTAAAAGGGACTGATCTGGAGAGCCAAAACCATCCAGCTTGGTTGCACCCCCAAAACCCGAGGCGTAGCCACGGGAGGCTCCTGCTATCTCTGCACCAGCCCTGGGAGCTGAGAGCTGTGTCCCCCACAGCCTCCAGAGTCACACTCAGCTGCAGCCTGGAGATAACAGATTCCACTGCCACGGGAGGGTGGGGGGTGCTGAGAAGACATTTTTTTTTTCCCTTTACCTAAATCGTTGCCTTCATCAGAGTACAAACCTGTTGCAGAAGGTTATCCAGCAAATCCTTGTCCTGCTGAGAAAGTCCATCCTTCTGCAATCTGAGAATAAGTTCAGGTTTCTTATAAGGCTTTAGTGCCAGTAAGTGCACAACCCTATCTTTGAAGGGTCTCTGGGAAATGGCACTATTGCCTCTCTTTATTGCACTGGCAAGGTTGACTGGCGTTGGGCGCTTCCTGGAGGGAACAGCATCGGAAGCTCCTGGTGCAGGTTTACGCACCTGAACCTTTTTGCCTAAAATGAGATGAGAATAGTGAAGTGCAGCAGTCGCCTCGCGAAGGCCGGTGGGCTGTCACCACCAATCTGGAGCTCAGCACAGCCCTGGGCAGGGCCACGAGGTGACAGGGAAGGACAAACACCACCAGCACACCCCCTCGGTCCCCACGAGCATCCCGTGAGGTTCATGGCTCATGACAAGCTTGTAACAAGCAAACAGCAACACCAAGCTCTGGAAACCTGAGCATTATTGGCCACCAGCTCACATAAAGCTCCCTTTGTGTGCCAGCTTTTCATTTATCCCAAGTGCACGTATCCCCCACGGTTAATCGAGCTGGTTTTTGCCCTCCCTACGAGAGGAAAATTCTGCATTATTATGTAGAAGAGTGGGAAATACGGAGTGGAAAGCCCAGAACTGGTCAACGAGCGGCTCCCCGCTGCTGAGCTCAGCAAAAACGCTCCTCCAGCAGATGTTTCTGCTTTTAGAACAATAGGAACTTTATGGGGCTGGGTCACCTCCCTTCCCCCTCCAAACAGGCCCCATGAATGGGGCTGACATGGGCCATCAGCCTATTCATGAGGGTGCTGATGGAATAACCCCTTCTCCTCTGCAGATAAGGGACAGCATCAAGCTGCCTCTGAGGTGCATCTCAGCTCCATCCCCACCGAGGGTCTTGGCTGCTGACAGCACGATCCAACACCTCATTTTTCCCATTCCTACTGAAAAACAGAACCCTCACACCATTCTCTCAGCAGAGCCCAAATCAAGGCACAGGGACTGCTTCAAATACAGGAGCAGGTTCCTGCCACCAAAGGCAAACCAAGCAAAGCTGAAAACAAAACGTGTGGGTTCCAAGGTCTGGAAAGCTGGAGATCCAATCAATAATCACTCGGGCTGGAGAAAGTGACCTTCACTAGGACAAACAACATCCAGCATTTACTGCAAGTGTTTGGGAGGTTTATTCCAGCAGGGCACTGCTCCATTGCTAGGAAGCAACGTTTGCAACTGAGTCATCTGAAGATACTGGGGATTGTCTGCACTGTTTGTTTTACTGAGCTGCACGTTGCGTAACCCAGGCCCCATTTCCTGGCTTTTTATTATACACCACAGTGCTGGGAGAGGAAGCACGAGCCATCCTCAGCAGGGCTGAGGGGAGGTGAGAGGGGGAACAACAGCAATTTGCACGTTAAACATCCCACAGTCCAGAGGGCAACTGGATTTTGTTTCCAGAAATGGGACAAGAGAAGATTCGTCAGCTTTCTAGAACTGCCTTAACTCCTGCCAGGTCATGAACAGTAAAAACATCACGTTGGGAGGTTTCCATTTAAAGGCTGGAGCCAAAATGTGCAGTGATAGGAAAAGAAAAAACCAAGTTAAGCCAGGACACAAAGGATTTTCAAATATTTATACACGTGCATGTCTACGGCTGCGTGCACACGTATTCAGTGTGGCTCCAAGCACACATCCCCTGCAGCTTTACCTGCAGCTAGCTATTTACATATCTACTTATTCGAGTGTCAGCTCACATCTGTAAGTTCTGCTGCTCTCCAATTTCAACATTTCCTATAAATTTTTCCACATCTGAGCTGCCTGGAAGGACTCCACTGGCACTCGAGTGCTGAGTTCGTGTTCTCCTGGAAATGTGAGAGGCAGCCCTGTCCCTCCAGCCAGGCTGCAGCAATCAGCTGATGCTGCTGGCACACCAGGACCTGCAGATCCCACACCACCACTGTCCTTCCAAGCCCTTCCTTCTTGGACCAGAGCTCTCCTCCTCAAACACTGACATCTTATCTAGGAGCAGTGTGAGCACAGGCTCTGCCCCTGCTGCTTTCACAGGCTCTGTCTCCATTGCAGGGCAGTAAAAGGGTTTTAGCCAGGGGTATTTTTAATTTTAAAAAGTTTTGCTCCATCTTTCCAGGAAGCAAATTGCTTTGAGAATCTTCTCCCTCAGAAGCTTTAACTTCAGGCACTTACTGTAATGTTCTCAAAGAGGAGCTAAACAAAATAATCTTCTGGCCTACGGGAAATCAATGCATTTCCTTCCTGATTACTATCTCCTTTCTCAGCTCTGAGCACTTGGCTGCTGTGACAATGAGTCTGGGTCAGTTCTACATTTTGCAACTCAATCCTTCTCATCACAGATCCTCTGAGAAGAGACTGGCTGCAGATCACATGGGCTGCAGGAGAAGCAGCTGCCTCAGGAAAAAAAAATAGTGAAACTGCATTCTGGTTTCTGTTTGTGCCCCAAGTTTGTGAGCTGAGCTTAAGCAGGGCCCTGAGCCCTGGCTCTCTGCAGGCTCCCTGTTATTTGCCATGGTTTTATCTCCTCTGCTAAGGCTTTCCTGCTGCTGTCACGGTGAGAAGGGCTGTGCCAGGCTGCTTCAGTGCCAGTGTTTATGAACAGAGGGCACTGCTGCCTGTGTCCTCCCTGCCAAGGTCCCGTGGGGCACAGCTGCGACACGCTGGTGGCAGTTTGAGCTGAGCTGGCCAGGAGCAGGGACACTGGGAGGGCTCAGCAGGGAGCATGTGACAGACTGACCTAAGGCCAGAGCCACTGCACATGGACAGCCCTCAGTGCTCCAGCCTGGGTGGCACCTTAAAACCACCCAGTGCCACCCCCTGCCACGGGCAGGGACACCTTTGGGCTGCTCCAACCTGATCCTGGACACTCCAGGGCAGCCACACTTCCCTTGGGGTGACGATGGAAGTGAAGACAGCACAACACAAGAGCAGCCCCCTAAATCCCCCACGAAGAACTACCAGGAACCTTCCAGACTGCCACAATCAAGCCAACACCATCAGGATTTGCCTCCAGAGCCTGCTGAGCCCCACATGGAGTGCAGAGCCCCAGGAGGAGTGGCTGCTTACCTACATATCTGCCCCCAGGTTTAATGACTATGGCGCTCCGGCTGCGAGTCTCCTCCTCTGCCTGGGCCATGCTCTGCCTCGCCTTCTGGTAGGAATCATCAGTGGCACACACGGTGATTTTATCCTGTATGCTTCCCAGGCAATCCAAATGGATATTGCCATTGCTGCAAGAGAAACGCAGTGGAGAGGGTACTCCTGGCACTGCAAAGGGACAGCAGGCTGGCACGGGGGGACAGCTGGGGGGGTTAGCTGAGTAACAGTGGGGACACAGAGGAGCTGAGAGGGAACTAGATGCTTCCCAAATAAAACCACACCAAAACAGATCAGAAAGACTCTGAAAATGAAGAACGTGCATTAAGCTTTGTTAGGGGAAAGATGCTCCAGAAGAGAGGGTAAAAAAAAAAACAAACCCAAAAAAAAAAAACAAACCCCAAAACAAACAACCCCCCCCAAAAAAAAAAACCAAACAAAAAAACCCCCAAAAAACCCCAAAAAATCAAAAACAGAAAAAAAGAATCCAAAAAACCAACCAACCAAAAAAAAACAACCAAAAAACCCCCAAAAAACCAAAAAAAACCAAAACAAAATAAACAAACCAAACCCAACCCAAAAGAGGCTGGGTTTTCCTTGGCTGCCCACTCACCTGGACACATACTGCTGGATGCAGTCGAAGCTGCCCTGGGGGCTGTCCTTGCCAATGTTGGAGAGATAAAAGGTGAAGGTGCGCACCTCTGCCGGTCGGTCGGGCCTGGGGATGGCGATGTGCTGCTCGGGAGAGGAGGGCACAGGGACAGCATTGGTCACTGGGCTCAGCCCAGGCTCAGCAGAGCCCGGCTCCCCTGCAGCCACGCTGCTGCAGGCCTTGTGCAACAGGGAAGCCCCGGGGTTACTGCACAGAGGCTGCCAGAGGAACTCGCTGCGTGCAGGGGAAGGAAAGGGCGACAGGGGGCAAGAGCGGCTGAAGGTGGATGTGGCTGGGAGAGAACAGAGCTGAGAGCCCACAGCCACCTGGTTCTAGGAATTCTGACCCAATTCCATTGATCCAGCCTCAAAACAGACTCGCTCCCACTGTTTATATTCCATGAAAACACTCAAGGCTTGTTTCTTTAGAATTACTGATCCAGCACTAAACATAGCACAAGCCAGGTCACTAGGTAGCATGCTTATTCTTTTTTAAGAAATTATAATTCCATAACAAGATTTCATGGCTCACAGTAGAGTGTGACGCTGCTGCTAAATTAAATATTTAATCAAGCATTAAGTGTGCTCCACAGACAACTCCACAGCCATCCTGCATTGTTTTTTTCACCCCCCCCACAGCCATTCATTTTTCAAAAGGGAAAACTGTCTCCCCTCTGCATGCAGGATCCAACATAAATGTCAGCATCTGAGCTCTACTATCACATCAATATTTGATAATTAAGATGGCTCCCAGAAGCTGAGACAGAAGGAACACCAGCCCCAGCCTATTTTAGGCCAGGCTTTACCACACGGGTTTATATTTACCCAGATTGCCACATCTACGCAGAAAATGCACACTCGCAGCAAGCCAGCCCGTGGCATCCACACATGACTGAGCTGGGACAGGAGGGGTTTTGGGTGGTTTCCTTCAGACCTCAGGCGTCTCCAGCAGCCTGGAAAGCCCAGGGATCTGTGTCCCTGTGCTAAACCACAGGATGTTCTCAGAGGCAGCAAGAGGCTCTTGAGCCGAGCCCGTGCACGGCGTTTCCCTGCCCTCACACAGAGCTCCCTTCTTCCAAAACGAGCCAGAAACCCAGACTTGTGCCTTGCTTCATACAGGAGGACAAGTCATCCCCGGGATCCAGGTCTGCAAATACTGGGAGCAGATTTTTTGGGTGCTGCTGGACCCACCCTGAGCAGCCTCATTATCTCCCCTGCCAAACGTGTGCCACAGCCCCTGAGCCCTTTTAATCTTTCCTGGCATCCTCTGCCCCCACCCAGGCAGGGGGAAGAAAATTCCCTTCTGCTTTACCAGAAGAGGCAGAAAGGCAGAGTTATGTAAGCAGCAGACTTGGGGGGGATTTTGCAGCTGGAAATTTGGTAGGAATGAGAAGAGGAGGAAAACTCAGCAGGGGGATTGAGCGGCGCTGCACCTGAGCCTGGAAAACAAAACCTGCAGGATGTCACCAAATCACATCTCCACACACCAAAGAACTTTCTTTGCTTTACCCACTGGAAAAAGCAGCTGCTCCAAAAGCCCCAGGTTTGGATTTTTGTAGGGTTTTTGCAGCGTTTCAGAGGCTGTAAAATGAGGCAGAGTCACTTTAGTACTGAAAAGTCTCTCATGTGCAAGCCGGCCGTTATCTAGGAATTATTTTTAGCTGAAAACAGAAGGTTTCTCAAGCCACCAAATCAGCATGGTGACTGCTTTGAGGGAGCCCTAATTTTGGTGCTGGGTACTGCACCAGTAACCAGAGACACTTAAAAATAGCTCAGTACAGATGTAACTTCTGTTTTCTTCTTTCAAGTAACATTCATCTGTGGACAGCTCGCCCTGAACTGAGATTTCACCTCCCTCCCTTAATACCAAAACTTCATCCCAAGAAGCAGGGGAAGTGCTGTATTTCCCAAGCACAAAGCAAAGATGTTTTGCTCCCAACAGTCATTCTAAAAATGCTGCACACACACGTGGGTCTGGCACCTGAAGGGTATTTTTCCCCACTCAGTTCAATTCTGCCCCTGCTTTCACCACCCCACAAGCACCTGCAGATTTCAGCCAGCCTAAGCTCTGATTCTGCATGTATTTTCACCAAAATAGAAGCATTTTCAGTAATTCTAGCACAGTTCTGCACACAATTTGTAATGCTGTGGTACTCCAGCTCTTAAATTCTAATTTACGTGCACACTGAAATGAGCAAAATGCTCAAAACTCCATCAAAACTCATGAAACTACCCAAGAAAATCCATGAGGAAATACTGCCAGCCAGGTGCTGCTCCCAAGGAATTTCCATGGTCCCACTTTAGAGGAACACTGGTAAAAACAACCTGGTTATAACAACTGCAATTCTGATTATTACACAGAATAAAAGCCATTAACAAGAGCAGCATCCCTACAGAGAAACACATCTCAAAGCAAAATCCCAAAAGTTTTTATCAGCTGCTGTGAGGCTGGACCCAGAGCAGGATCCAGCTTTTGTCCCCTGTCACTGGAGCAGCTGTTTTATTTTGGGCTACAACCACTGGCTTCCTCCTTTCTGCTGCCACCTTGCTGACCCTGGCTTTTATTCCAACAATTCCCTTCCCTGGTTAATTAGTGTCTCAAACGTGGAAGTTTCTTTTTCTGTGTATTAGAAACTGAAAGCATTTTTGACAGCTTTTAGAGTAACACTGGAACAGGGCAAAACACATGGACACCGTAATTTAAAGGCTTCTGGAGAATTAAATTCAAGAAGCAGCACTTTGTTTAAATTCTTATTTTATGTCCTGCCTCCCTAAATCATCAAGTGAAGCTTTTCCCTCTTGAGAGGGGAATACTTGCACAGAAATTCCCACTATTAAAACCTCACTGCTTTAAATCACACTGACACTTGTGCTCTGCACAACCTTCCCACCCCAAAAAATTCATGGGATTCTCCACAGCTGCCTTTTTTTTTATTTTGTAAACAAAAAGGAAGGCAGCAAATTGGGGAACTGAGGAAAAGTGGAAGAAATCATTTAAAAATAAGCAAGTAAAATGTTTTAATGTTTAAAAGTAAGATATGTTTGAATGGCATCCTCTGGATGAGAGAGCCTGGCAAATTCCTGGAATTATCTCTTCAGCCCAACTGATGGAGGATCCCTCGAAAGCATCTGAAGCCTCAGCTCCCTAAAAGCAGGAGAATCCTGACGTGCAGAGTCCTACCCTTAAAAGCAGATGGTTCCCCAGCTGCCAGCTCCTTGTCATACCCAGGAAAAATAACAATAAAGGGACAAAGAGCTCTTTCTGTGTGCTCCACGGAGCTCTCTTCAGAGCTCTACCTTTGGCCCTTCCTCGTCAGTGCCGTTAATGAAGCACTGAGGAGGAGCAGGCAGAGGTCAGCTCTGGCTGCCACCTCCTCCCTGAGCCAGCCCAGCCCTCCTGGCTGCTCTCCTTCTCCAGGGAGTGACACTGCAGGGGCCAGGCAGCTCCTCACCCCTGGCACTTCAGGGCTCCAACAGAATTCAGTTTTGTATTTTTAAATACATTTTGTATTTTTAAATAATTGTATTTTTGTATTTCTAATTTCTAGAAGCAACTGTAGCACTTGAAAATATGTTAAATTAGCCCCAGAAATTAATATTTGTTGTTAATCCTTGTCCATATCAGATCCATGTGGAACCCACCACGAGCAAAGGCTCAGGGCAGAGGAGCATTTGAAGCTGTTTTCATCTCTTTTGCTGCATTTCCTTGAAGGAAAAACATTCAGAGGAGGCATTTCCAAAACTTAAACAGCTTTACAGGAAGAGTCAGGTGTAGATCCTGCTTCCAAAGGGAAAGGAAAGCATTCCCAGAGCTTTTGGCCTCTTTATTCCTTGAGCAAAGCTCATCAACTAAAGACTCCTCAGCCACCCTTCAGCTCTCCTCCTCTCTTCTGACTGTGCCCAACCTCAGTAGCAGATTTTAATCTCAACTTTCATGCTGAGCTTTCAGGGAAGTTTAAGTCTAAACAAAGTAAAAAACCTGGAAATTGCTCCTTTCTCTATTTCCCAGGACAAGGAGGTTTGTATTTTTCTTCTAAACTTACAATAACAATCATGTCTTTCCTGCTGTATTTTCTGTGGGCTGTTAGTGAGAATAATATCACAAAGTAGGATGTGGGCAAGGACAATGTGCTGGGTTTAATGTCCACTCAACCCAAGCCTTTTTAAAAGCTTTCATGTGCCAGTGCATAAAAAATAACCAGAAATTACAGCTGAATTCAGATTCTTGAAAAAAGAAATTTAAAAAATTAAACTCCCCTTCTTTGTGCAGAAAGTAAAGTTAAACACGGGCTTTTTTAGAAATAAAAGGTATCTAAATGACATTTTTCAAGTTCACTGAAGGGCTGCATTGCTTTACCAGAAACACCAGCACGTAAATCTCAACGTTGTCAGCACTGGCATGACAGAGTGCTCCAGGGGCTAAAAATAGCCCAGGTTCTGTCATCGGAGCACAAGTTGGGGAAGGAAAACTCCTAAATCTAAAATAACTTCTGGTACTCACAGAACTGCAGCGACACTAAATAAACCCCAGGACACTCCGAGCAGCCTCCAAGCTCTGCTGCTGGAAGGAACTGGCACCCAAAAGTCTTGCAGTGAGTTCAGCACGGTGCTTTCTGGGGATGCAGGAGTCCGTGGATTTCTGCTTCCTTTCCTTTTCCCTGCTCTACCCAATTCATAAATCTGAATTTCCCATGGATTTAGCAAGGTTAGGAAAGAAAAAGGAGGGAAAAGGTTTTAGAGAGAGACTCTGTGAGCAAACACCTTCCTGGAGCACACCTGGAGCTGCATCTGAGCAACCACAGCATCACTCCTTGAGCTGGAACAGCCCAAGTTCCTCACTCCCATTACATGGAAAAAAAACTTCCCAGGGACAAACTTACCCCTTGGCTTCCTTGAAACTGGATGACTGGTTTTGACGTCACAGCATCCTACAAAAACAAGTGGAAAAACAAAAATTACCTCAGAGAAATTCTAAACTCAGCCAAGTTCACCAAGCCACGCTCAAGCTTGATTTTTCACCTGGATTTTTTACTTTGCTTATTTATTTTTTTCCAAGGGGAAAGGTCAGGGAAGTGTGTATTTCAAGTAAGAAAGCAAAAAAATTCCTGAAGTAGTGATTTGTACCAGGAAAAAGGATAAGCTAAGGTCACCCTGAGCTCAGGAGAGGAGCAGCTCTTGGTTCCTCCTGACCCCTCCACCACATTTTGGGCACAGAACAGCTCAGCTTTGGTGCTTATGTAAGTTTTGAGTTAAAAAATGGACACTTGAGGGGAAAATTTATTCCAGTTCTCTGCCTGAGAGGACGCAAAGCGAATTTTTTCCAGGAGAAAGCTGGCAATCCTCTGGAAAAGCAAACTGCAGCTCCGTTGCAAAATCCTGTTGTTACTTTGCCTGGTTCAACAATTGGCCTCTTCCTCCAGGCTCAGCTGCTTACATTTAAAAAATTGTATTCCTGTGACTCCAAAACTGCTCAATTTCAGCCTTTTTGCCTCGCTGTCATCTTGGAGATCCCAAAGACATTTCAATTCCAGGTCTCACCCGAGGTTTTAACCGAAGCAAAAAGAACAGAGCCAACCCAAGGCAGGCTGAGTTTGGATTTCTCCAATTCCAGCAGAATTGGGGCTGTGGAGGTTTTCTTTCCTAAATCACAAAGCATCCAAGACAGGAATTGTGCTCCATGGGGCTCGTGGGACAGAAGAGTTTATAAATAAGTTGAAAGCATCATTTATAAGTGAAAATATTGTCATGTGTATGGGAGACACATTTCCATGGGAAAACCACCAGGAATTTGGGAAAACAAGCCCAAACCATGAGTTGGATTGTACTGTTTGTGTCACCCAATTTCCAGTGGATCAATTTCCAATAGATTAGAGAAATAGGTATTTAAATTTTAGCAGCAAGGAGTTAAACAGCTTGGAATTCATGAAGTTAACCTCATAAAACTTTTCCAGCCTAGCAGTGAAGAATCTCAGGCACGACATCAACAAAAAAATGGATAAATTCACCAGCAAAATAAAAATCCTTTCAGCCCAGATAAACCCAAGCAAACTTGGATGGATGAACCCAGCCCAAGCCAGAGTCTGAGTCTCTGAAGAGCCCATCCAATGGGATTTCCCAGCTCTGCATCACACCCAGGATCATTACAGGACATTTATGATGCTGAGGAAAGCAGGAACACGCTCAGCACTCCCTGAGTGCTGGATAAAGCATTTTATAGACCCAGAAGAACCTTTAGAAAAGCACCAATAAACAACATCTTGCTCTTGGTACAGAGATCACTGAATTCCTCGAGTGCCACGACACTGCATTCCTCAGCACTCTGTTCATGGACAGCCTGGCCAGCTTTTTGTTCCCCCTGTCCAGAAATTCACAGCAACATACTTGAGCAAACAAGCATTTGAAACATGATAAAAATCTGGATTTAAGGAAAAAAAAAACCAAACCAACTCATGTGGTTCTTGTACAGCAAATTACAGATTTGGGAAGTTCTGTTCTTTGGTCTGGGAAGTTGTTCAAGGGGAATAAAAAGGGGGTAAGGAGGATGGAAGTGGAAGAAGGAGGCAGGAGCAGAAGTCCTGATGCACAAATCAGACACGGTTTAATTACAGAACTTATAAATCCCACAATCTACAAATACACTGTGAAGTTAAGTGGGTAATATCAGCTTTATGCAAGTTCAATGGCAAAGCTGAGCTGCATTTCCCAAAATTCAGCGTCTCTGCTGTGCCTTTTGGGATCCCTGTGGGAACAGCAGTGCTGGAGCTCCCAGGCAGGCTCTGAGGGGACAGATGGGTCTGATGGACACTGCACATCCCAGGCCCCTTCGAGGCAGGGAAGGATTTCTGGCATCTCAGCAGCACATCCCTGAACCTCCCCTGATGTCCAGGTCCTGGGCTGCAGCTCCTCCAGGATGCTCATGGAACAGAGCACCCTGCACACCCTGCACTAATGAAGGATGTGACTCTAAGTACCTTTATTAGGTGAAATTAAATCCCTGCATGGACACCTTCATTCAGAATAAAAAGAACACATGAATGAGCTAAACCAAATTAAAACCACGTTTCCATTTCTATCCTCATTTGGATTCACTTCCTTGGATGTTTTTGGATGAACAACCCCGACTATCAAGAGTTCCTGCTGCCCTTTCCAAAATCCCTCTGGCATTTTCTGAAGAGTCACCTCAGAGTCACTCCATTCCTCTCCCTCAGTGATGCCATGACTGAATTTCCTGTGTTCCAGTTCCTAGAAATGCCATTCCATCCCTTCTGAGTGGGAACCAGGTCTTTGCCCCTGCCTTTCCAACCAAAGCAAGTCACCTCCTCAGCCCTGGGTGCAGTGAATCCCTGGCAAACCAAGGATGCTGATGAAACCTCATCCTCGTGCTCAAACAAGAGGAAAACAAGGCAGATCTGTCCAAGCAAAGGGGCACAACCTCATCCCCTCGCAATGAATTCCAGCTCTATCCCTCCAGGACACCCTCTGGGGTTAAAAACAGCTGCTGGCAGCTGAGTGAAGATAAAAACCTGAGGAAGAAAAGCACAGCTCAGGTACTTCCAGCAGGAAGAAAAGCACAGCTCAGGTACTTCCAGCAGGAAGAAAAGCACAGCTCAGGTACTTCCAGCAGGAAGAAAAGCACAGCTCAGGTACTTCCAGCAGGAAGAAAAGCACAGCTCAGGTACTTCCAGCAGGGTTTATGCTGCTGCCAGGTACCAGATACTCATCCCTGCAGCTCAGCCATGAGGGTGGATGGCAGGAGCACAATTCCTGAGATTTGTGGGATCACAGAACACAATTCCAGGGACCTGTGGGGCCAGAGAACACACAGGAAGGAGCACAATTCCTGAGATCTGTGGGATCACAGAACACAATTCCAGGGACCTGTGGGGAACCCCACATGAGAATCTGCATTTTCCAGAGGCAGCAAAGCCCCTTTAGACACAGCCCAGATGCAGGAATTCCATTCCTGCCCATGCCATTGTTCCAGCTGAATGCTTCCTGAGCAGCTGGAAGGTTGGCAAAGCATTCCCCAAGCTCCAGAGGCTGCCAGGTCCCACAAGGAGCTGCTCAAACTTCCTCTGGAACAGCCAAGGGAGCAGGGCCCAGGCTGCAGCCCCAAAGCTCTGCAGGAATAACTCCAAAGGAACATCTGAGATCTGCCCAAACTGGAATTCCCAGCTTCAGCCTCTCCACCTGACTGCAAGCAGACCCTCAGAAAGAGCCTGGGTACACCCTGGCATCTAGTCCACAAAATTCCATTTATTTCCCATCCAGAAAGAGAATTTCCTCACATCCATGCCCAGCTCCCTGCTTTCTCAGCTCCTGCTGCATTCCCTGGCAATGATGGAGAAATGAAGCCCTCAAAGCTCTGCTCTGGGATGCCAACAGGAATAAAACCCCACAGACCCAAGAGGTTTTTGTCAGTCCTCCACATACCGTAAGATTATTTCAAAAGTCATGAGATTAAACCAGAAAAATCCCAAAACTCATCCCCAAAACTCCCACAGGATCTTTGGCTTTCATTATCACAGTATTATGCTCATCCTTTAGTTTCCCCAGGCTAGAGGGGAGCAAGAAACCCTAAAGAGAGGCTCTGAAAGCTCACAGAGGTGGTGGCAACACACAAACAGCTCCTCACACTTCAATATTCCAGGTATGGCACATGGAAGCTGAGGAAAGAACAGGGAGAACAAGAAAGTATCAATAAAATATGGAAGAATTGAATGTAAAATGAATTATTTTATCAGGGCTGATTGAAGCTGGCAAAAGGTTTTCAAGACCTTTAGAGGAAAAGCTGGATGGGATCAGAAAGGACACTGGAAATACTCAGGTCAAGGAGCCAACTGGAAACCTCTCTGTTTCTTCAGGGAAATACATATAATTAAAGAAGACATCATTTTGGGAAGTTCTGTCATGTATTTACTGGAATTTATACTGCAGGCTGTGTTCTATGGAAAATATTTGCCTCAACTTAGTATTGATGTGTCTGTTGGATGTTCAGAGCCACCAATGCCCAGAGTGCAACTGAAAATTTACTCTTATTTGTGTTGGAACAAGGGGATTATATTCAGAATTTAAAGCTTCCTACAAACAGTTAAAATTAGTAGCAAGAATTCCAATAAATACGCAGAGAAACTCTCGAACCCTGCTAAGCAAGGCTGGCATCAATGGCACGTTTCCAACCACCCTGTGCAATTCCAGGTAAAACCAGTGCCCAGGTAAAGCTGCTGCACCTCAGGAGGCACTTACAAAAATGGGAACAACCAGAAATTGCTTAAAAAGCACAAATTTCTGACTCTGTAGTGCCCCAGACTCCAGGTTCCTCTTTAATTCTTTGGTTATGACTGGTTTATGTTTCTTTAGCCCACACAGCAAGGACCAAATATAGGCAAGGCTCCCTCCCCTGCTTCCTCTGGCACAACTGGGCCAAGGGTGGCATAAAAAAGCCCCAAACCCAGGAGGATTCTGAATTCAAGCACACCTGGATACCTGGCAAAGCTCCTGCAGAGCTCCCCAGGTTTCATTTTCCATCTGTGTTTTTGCTTTAAGCACCCCAAGAGCTTGCAAAGCAAAGCAGAGGCCAAAGGCAAAGCAGATCCACCCTGTCCCAGGAGCCAGCTCCCAGCCCCTGAGCTCATTAGCAGCAAAAAACACAAACCCCAGGGGGAGGAAGACCCTGGAACAGAGCCACAGCCCCAGTGGGGCTGTGTGAGGTTTGCTGGCAGCCAATTAGCCCAGCTGGCCCACTGAGAGCCACCGAGGCTGCTCCCAGGACATTCCACTATTGCAAGGCTTGTATTTACCTCCTCCCAGAAACTCAGCAGCCAAAAAAGCCTCCTGAATA